TATTGCTTTCGCTCGTAAACTCCATGCTCTTCGTAGCGGGATATCCAGTTGGCAATAGTCCTGGGAGTTTTGCGAAATAGATTCGCTATATCCGCCTTTGATACGTTCTTGTAGTAGTACATGTATAGCGCGTGAAGCACGGTGTTGGCGGCGGCATGCTCGTGGCCCACGACGTCGATGATCATGGTGGAGCGGCGGCACTTTCTTGCAATGTCTAGAACCCAAAATAATGGACAGTTATCCGGATATTCTGTGTTATCCGGGTTTTTTCGATTTGTCAAAGACATTTCAAAATGGAAATTTTATCTGAAAAGCACAATATGTGGAAATTACTTGAACAATGTATGCTAGCATATTGAAATGTCACTGCACTTCACAAGCCAAATATTCCCCGCGCTTCCTCAGACTCCACGGCGGTCATTCCATGCCCGTCGGAAGAAGCGCTGCAGTGGACTCGCAAGCATCCCATGCAAGGATAAGATTCAAGAAGGCATGCAAGCAAGTGTGTCATATTGACGATATAGTGTTTCACGCGACTCCACGGGAGACGGGATAATACTGCGACGAAATCGAACGTCGATTGCTCAAGAACGGCCGGTCCACGCGATTCTCGAAGTCGGCGAAGACACGTTCGTCTCCACCGCTGCCATCGTCTTCATCGTCATCGTGGACTCCGTCGTCACTGTCCTCGTCATCGCTTTCTTTGGGTAGCGACAGGCTTCGAGAGCTGGCAGTCGATGAGTTGGACAACGCACGAAATCGATCGAGATCTTTCTTCGTGGGTAGCTCCGCGACAACACTCCACTGGACGGTCGGTAATTCAAGAAATGCACGCACGCGGGGCTCGGCTGCCATGTCGATTCGTTGATCCAACATACCGATGAAGTGAAGCGGTAAGAGAGTGTCGATGAAGCACTGGAGGTCCACCGATCGAGTCTCCAAGAAAGCTGGGTCTACACTGCGGAACAACGTCTTCGGGGGCATTGACACGTTCATCTTGGTCTTGTGGCGTATATGCACGGCAAGGTCGTTGAATTCCTGGTATCGATGGCCCACCGTTTTCATGCGCGGAGCCGACGACGGCGACAGGTTGTCCACAAACAGCACCGTCAGCATGTACTCCACAACACCGTCGTCCAGCACGTGAATGCCAGACACCACTACCGTAAACGCGCCAGCGACGCTCTTGGCTTTCTTTCTCCACGCGTTGGGCGGTACATATGTCGTGCAGTACGGCATGGGTACCGCTGGTTGCGGAAGCGAACGACGGCGCATTCGTGGAAGGTTCGAGCTGCTCATGCTTTGTCGCATGGAGGTCGACGCCTTGGCTCCAGAGCTGGACACGTTGGACAAAAGAGCGACCTTGGACGGCAACGCTGATGTGGTAAACCATTCGGACGGAATGGACTTCCGCGTGGGCGTCGGCATCTTCTCTGAATGAGATTGCGACTCCAACCGACCGTCGCACGAGTTGGATCCAGTTGGCACTGCACCCATGTGAGTGTTCCAGCAATGCAAGTGGAGGAACAAGCGCACTCGGAGGTCTTGCGGCACGGGCTCTTTGACAGGAATCAATCCGTGGGCTCCGATGTGCGTGATGGACAGTATGAACGACAGCACGTCCACGACTGCGGCAATGCGATCATCTAGCTTTCGCCCGGCTTTGTTCATCTTGCGCGTGAACGACGACACAATCTTGTGGCCAGGCAACCGCAGCGCCATGGAATGCACAAATCCCGTAATTTCCTCTTCCGTTTTGGTCACGATGGAGACGGACTGCACTTTGTCCTGTCGCGGTCGCGGAAATTGGGCGTAGCGTTGATCGGACGAAGCGTACATGGAGAAGAAACTTGTGGAAACATGGTTGGCTTCGGCGCGACCTCGCGACAGTGAGTGATGAGGCGACGTCACGGACGACGCACTTGGCGGTGGAACCGGCAGCCCAACCAACGCAAGGTTGAATAAAACGGTGCCGCTGGACCTCTTGACATGCGCGGCCTTGATTGTGAAGTCGCCTGGTGACGCAAATGCCACCGACCACCGCTCGTACGGACAAAATGTTTGAAAGTTGGGGACTTCCCCATCGGGGAGACCCATCGATTTCTCTTCGCCTTCTAGCCACAACGGTGCTACTCGGCCAGACTTGAATGGATCAAGAGATGCTTTGACCGAGGGTGTCGGCGCCACAACAAGGTTGCTGCCGCTGGACGAAGGAATGCTAAGGTTGTTGGCAGAGACGGTTGCTGCATGGCGATGGATTGCATGGGAAGATGCTGGGCTCTCGGCCGAATAGCTCGAGTTGATGTTGAATCGTTCGTACCCGAGCTGCTTGGCCGCAGGCTGCGACAATCGTTGCTGGGAACCCAGGACGGAGGCCGACGACGACGGCGCGTCCTCGAGTCGTGCATGGAGATGGCGCGGCGATTCGCTCGAGTCCTTGCACCCACAATGGAGAAGCAGGTGCATCATGACTGGTGCTAGCTACCTCGTGACGGACGCGGAAGGACTTGTGGTGTGTGTGCCAAGGGTCCCTGCAGTCGCGCCAGCTACTGTACCTCCTCCTCGAGAGTGGTCGGCACTTGACGTTTTGGAGCATTTGGATGTCACATGGTAGGTGAGATAGCTACAGTTTTGTATGTTGCGATTTTAATTCCGCAGCGTCAACCTCACTTGGAATTTGTATGGGACGTGCCAATTTCACGTTAAATCTCGCGAGGTGGTATCTTTCCCAGGCCGTTCGAACTCGGGTTGCACTCTGTGTATCGACACTTTCGCCCCGTTTTCACTCCTTTAACACAGCTCTGGCCACTAATTCAAGCAGGGGAGCACAGATTCGACGTCGTTGGCAGTTCTATCGATGGGTGCGCGGTGTCGTGACGGCATTGCATTTTTCGAACGGCCAGAATCAAGTCCACACGGATACACTTCGAAAAACTGTTAAGGTGCGGGGAGAAACGCACTGGCCCCTCTACGTCTACGAAGTATTATTACCACAAGGTATAGTATTCAAGAGGTCGAGTTGAATGTTGAGGCGTTCTTCCTACAAATGCAGCTATTAGTTTATACAGGGTATGTGTTGTACGCAACACGGCTTCGGGTCACGATCTGGCCATATTGTTTTGCCGCAGATCTGTCTCTTGAGCACTTGCAAGTTCAATTTCCTTATCTATGGACTTTGCGGGCGAACCAACGAGCGGGACATCGCAAGCTGGGTCAACTGACCAAATACTTTTCACAGAGCTTCACCATGGCAAGCGCACGTACCGTTTGCGGATTGATATCCATTATTAGCGCGTCAAACGGTGAGAATGTTGCAGAAACGTGTCATGTGAAATATGGCACGCGGATCCGATCGATCCGCGCAGAACTGATCGTAGGAGATTTGTCGGTTCGGATAACACCCTCTTGTATCCGGAGATCTTCAATGTTCTTCCTCGAGTTTGATTGGCTCGATCCTAACAGGACAGACAATCGACGAACAATGTTGGAAGGATCCCGAGCGACGCCCCACCCACCACCTTTTCGTTGAACTTGCTTGGCCCACCCACCACGTTTTCGTTGCGCTGGGCGACCGCACCGACTACCGATGCGCACACCGTTTACCAAGATGTGTGGTGCGCTTGGGTGACAAACACGGTGCAGGCATTCGTGGTTGGCTGGGGATATCCGTCGGAATGTCGCCTATGCGTACTTACACGGGGTGGGGGGGACGCTTGAATGGATGGCTCCGTCTGTCTATATACGCTTTTGGTTGCCACGTCCAGCGTTGCACGAGTGCTGGCAGTCGAGTTTTTTTGCACAGCTTCTACACCAGAGACTAGCGCACGCAAATTCCATCTACGATCATGGTTATGGTACTGCGTTTATTCGTGGCATACGAGCCACCCCTTCCATGAATGATGTGTGCACCATGTGGCAGTTGAAAAGTGTACGAGTGATGCGACTCGACTGGAGCGCGCTCTAGAGGCAACCCCCGTGGCGACCCATTGCGAGATGGGTTCGTACAGCGCTCGGTCTCAATTGGATGGTTGAACAACTGCTCACCACGAGCCGGGTGGCGGTGAGACATTGCGCGAAATTTGGTGACGGATTCGACGACGTAGCCGGCTTGAGCAACCGGATACCATTATCCGGTTGCTTTCCGGATAATGGTTTGAAAAGCACCAACCATTCGTCGTGGCCAATCAACGTCGAGAAAACGTATCCGGTCCGAAGAGAGCATTTTGCGGTCGACTCGAGGGATTGACGGAAGCAGCGCGCGGCGATGGACATCCAAACGCTCCACAATATTCTGCTCCACACGTTTGCCGTGGACGCAGAGGCGCGCAAGGCAGCTGAAGCCGCGCTCCAGAATTTGCACACCGTGCGTGGGTCGATTGTGCTGCTTATGCAGTTGATTTCGAACGTCGACGTGCAGAAGGAAATCCGACAAGCGGCCGGTATCCAGCTCAAAAACATCGTGTCCAAGCACTGGGAAGGTGAAACCCAGCCCGATCGCTCTGTCGTGTGTGTGTTCACGTTCGAGGACAAGTTGGAGTACCGCAAGTATATCATGGAAGGTTTGCTTACAACGGGTGTCGACGATCGATCGATCCGGTCGTTGCTCGCCGAAGCGGTCAATCAAATTGCGCGCATTGATTTTCCGTTCAAATGGCCCGGTCTCGTCGAAGAAATCACAACCAACATCCAGTCGGGGGACCCCACGCGCATCTGCAACTCGTTGCTAGTCCTGCGTCGCTTGTGCAAGAACTACGAATACCGCAACGAAGAGGTTCGTTCATGCGTCGTCGTCGACTTTCCCAAGAGCCTAACTTCCACCTCTGTACGTAGAACCGTGCGGATCTGAACACGATTGTCGGCGTGACATTCCCGCTCCTCCTCACGATGCTCGAATCTCTCGTGAACAACAACTCGCTGGAAGGCGCGCGCATGATTCACTTGATATGCAAGATCTTTTGGTCATGTGTGCAAGTGTCGTTGCCGCCATACGTTGCCAACATCCAACGCATGTCGTCGTGGATGGAAATCTTCCGTCAAATCCTTGCCAAGCGACTTCCGGAAGCGTCGGAAGGCGTCGAGCCCCTCCACCAGCCCACGGTTGTTGAAGAGCGAGAAAAGTGGCCGTGGTGGAAGGTCAAGAAGTGGATTTTGCAGGTCGTTACGCGCTTCTACATGCGATGGGGGAATCCAAAGAGCGCGGCACCCGAAAACGCTGACATGGCCAAACACTACCGTTCGCACGTGAACCCACCGATGCTCGCGACGATCCTGGAAACACTCGCCCTGCGCAAGCAAGGCCAATTTTGCACGGATCGCGTCGTCCAGCTCAGTTTAACATACATCAACGAAGCCGTCAAGTCGTCCCAGGCGTACAAGCAACTCAAACCGCATTTGCACTTTTTGCTGTTTGAAGTTGTGCACCCGACGTTGTGCCTGACGCCTGCCGATCTCCAGCTGTGGGCTGAAGACCCCCATGAGTTTGTCCGCAAGACCCATGACTTCATGGAAGGGTACTTGAGCCCGGTCAATGCGGCGCAAGAAGTGCTCAATGGGTTGTGCACGCTCCGCGGGAAGGACTGCTTGTCCAACGTGTTGATGTTTTACAACCAAATCTTGACGACGTATTTGAACTCGCCGATTGAAGCGCGGGATGTGATCCAAAAGGAAGCTGCGCTCCACGGACTGTCGGCGCTTCAGGGCTTGCTCGTCAAGTCCAAGGCGCACAAACCCCAAATCGAATCGCTCTTGCAAGCCCACGTCTTGCCCGAGTTTCACAACGCGAACGGGTTTCTCCGTCTGCGGGCGTGCAAGATGTTCACTGGGGACTTCATGACAGACATTGTGTTCTCCGACGCCACGATCACCGAGCTGGCCAACAGCATGATGAAGAGCATGGCCGACTCGGAGCTCCCCGTGCGCATCGAAGCGGCCAAGGCCTTGCGCCACATCGTCATGTACGAGCACTCGAATGCCGTGCTGGACGCGATGCGCCCCGTATTGCCCCAGATCATGGAGCAGTACTTTAAGCTCATGGACGAAATCGGAAACGACGAAGTCGTGATTGCCCTCGAGCACATCATCGACCAATTCGCAGAAGAAATCGGGCCGTACGCCGTACAGCTCATCGAGAAGCTCGTCGACTGCTTCAATCAGTTTGCCAAGGAAGGCGACGAAGACGACGATGCGTGCATGACTGCTGCGTCGTGCCTCGACACGGTCAACACGATCCTGTACTCGATCCACAACCAACCCGAGTACTACCCGCTGTTCCTGGATTCGCTCGTTCCCGCGCTCACGATGATCTTGAGCAGCGACGACTACACGGAATACCTTGAAAGCGCCCTGGACGTGCTGGTGACCCTTACCTTTTACAGCAAGTCGATTGCGCCGTCGCTCTGGTCGCTGTTTCCGCTCCTTTTCACGGCCTACCAGTCGTGGGCAGAAGACTACACGTCCAACTTTGTGTCGGTGATCGATAACTACATTGGCATGGATGTGGCGTCGTTCTTGGCCGGCGGCATCGTCTCAACCACGGACGGGTCGCGCGTGTCGTACTTGGAGATGGTGTTCCAAATGGCCGCTGGCATCTTCAAGCGCGGCGACGACCAGGACGACGACGACGACCGGAGCGCCGATTTGATCGGGGCATGCAAACTACTCTACTCGCTGTTGCACAACTGCATCCGCCACGACATCAACGTGTGCGTGCCCATGATTGTTCAAATCACGTGCTTGAAGCTGTCCCGGTCGCTCAAGCAAAAGGTCGTGACCGCGCTGTTTGGCGTGATTGCGTCGGCTCTCCACTACAACCCGATCTTGACCCTGACCACGATGGAAGGTTTCCACGCGACGGAACCGCTGGTCAAGGCATGGCTGTCGCACCTGCCCCACCTCAAAAAGTACTTGGATCAAAAGATGTTTGTCCTCGGGATCACGGCCGTCTTGAAGCTGCCGCTTGCGGAATTGCCCGCGTCGCTGCAGCCACACTTGCATGCGTTGTTGGTCGGCGTCGTCGACAAGCTGCGTGACATTCAAACGAACGAACACGACGACGACGGCAGCGACAACGACGAACGCGACGATGGGTTGGACGAAGATGAAGTCGAACAGCTCGTCGATCGTGGCGGGTATGCGTCGGACGAAGATGCAGAAGCGCTGCAAGACGCCGAAACCGCCGCGTTCCTGCGGGAAATGACGCGGCGCGCCGGAGACGACGACGATGACGAAGGGTACTTTTTTAACATGGGCGACGAAGAAGAATTCACGAGTGAGCTGGACAACATTGACGAGTTCGCCGTGTTCTTGGAGACCGCGCAGCACATGCTGACGACCAACCCACAGGCGTGCCATGCACTCCAGATGGACACGGACGAATTCAAAGTGTCTTGCGAGGTACGCCCTTCCCATTTCCATCCGTTTGTCCATGTTTCTCAATCCATGCGGTGTAGCACTTTGCCGCTGAAGTCCAGCGCCGACTGCACGAAGCTGCCGAGGACGCCACCGCCCAAGCGTCGGGCGGCAACCAATAAATCCATGCGACTGTCGTTCCCACCGTGTGTGACTGTAGAGTAGTAGGTTGAACAGCGAGCTTTTGTCGACGAAAGATTGCAGAACGCGTTTTTCGTTGGTCTCTTTGTATTTTTAGCCAAAGCTGGCACATGCCGACGCGGCCCATGGACGTCGCCGCACTCGACTCCACCACCGTCCTTCGACGGTCCAGCGGATCCGGGAAGCTCCGGCCGGTGCGGACTCCACTGTCTGCGTCGAGGTCGACCCGACCAAACACACCCACATCAGCCAAGGGCGTGTCGATGGTGCTGGTGGGTACACAAGGAGTCGACCGGCGTCATGTCGACTGACCTGGTTGGCGTGTGCTAGGGGGCTGCCGCCGACGACAGACAGTTAACTGGCTACACGAAGATCAAAAAGTTGGGCGTTGGTACGATGCATTGTGTGGAAAATTGACACAACGGAAGCGTCCAGGGGGTTGTGGAACGGTATGGCAAGTGGTGAGAGCTGGTCGTGACGGCGGCGAGCGGTGCGACGAGCACTTTGCGCTCAAGCAAATCTCCAAAGGTATGACTTGGCGGAGTGCCCCACAATGATGATCGTGGTTCCCGTGCGCTAGAGGATGGAGCGGTGGTGTCGGGCGTCGTCGAAGCACGCGTTGGGCTCAAACTCTTTCCAAACGCAACCGTTGTGTGCGGCAAGCTCCTCCATGGGCTGCGCCATGCGATCAACGTGCCCGCCACCAACGCACACTTGAATTCAATGGACGCATGTGGCAGATCCGGCGGCCCCGTCCCCCCCGACGACCTGTCTCTGCCCCCCACCGCCGGGGGAACCACCCAGGACGACGTCAGCTCTTACATCGTGCCACTTTTGGCCGTCGTCGAAACAAAGCGCGACTTGTGGCTCGCCTTTGAGCACGGAGGCGATACCCTCCACAACGCGCTCTTTGACATTCGTGGCGAGTTTGTTCGTGGATCGCGAACGTATCGAATTCGCCACCGCCCGTTGTACACGGCCATGCGGGACAACGTCGTCCTCCTCAAGGTACGTTGCCCGCTTCTCCCCCTTTCGTCCGTGATGCGCACTTGCCTCACGCCATCTAGTCTCTTTTGAGGCAGCTCCTCCTGGCCATTCAAGCACTGGCGAGTCGCCACCTCGTGCACGCCGACATCAAGCCCGACAACATCCTAGTCCAGCACGCGTTCTCAACGCCAACGACGCCGTCAGCACAGACGGCCGTCGGGTCGGCGCTCCATCCTCTCACACTCTCTGCAAAACTCATCGACTTTGGCTCTGCATTTACCGCCATGTCGCCCAAGCTCTCGAGTGCCCACACACCAGAGTACGCCAGATACCGTGCATGGCGACGTTGTGCCGACGACCGTCGGATGACTAGATACGTCCCCCCCGACATCCTCGAGCTCGTGCGCACCAAGCACCAAACGAACCACGTGAAAGCTTACTTCGACGCACACTGCCGCCCCCACTCGTTCGACATGTGGTCCGTCGGCTGCGTCTTTCTCGAGATTGCATGTGGGGTCCCGCTATGGCTGCCATACAAAGCCCGCGTCGGCGTCGACGGCGAGAAGCTCGTCACGGGGCTGCTTGCAGCCACGGGACGCAACGCCGACAAGATCGCGGCGCGGCAGCTCCACGTCGTGGCCAACTTGCGCAAATGCATCCGCGACTGCGGCGGCATGAACATCGACAGTCGGCGGTGGACACACGGGGTCGACCTCATGCAGCGCATGCTTGAAGTCGATCCCGCCCACCGCATCGCGCCCGTCGACGCTTTGGCCCATCCGTTTTTGGCCGCAACTATCGCGCCGTCGTCGCAATACACGACACCACTCGCTGCATCGGCACTGCCACAGAACACCCCGAGCATGGCCAACCCAAGTCGTTCCAGTGTTTTCTGCAACCCAAGTGCCCCAGAAGCACTCGAGGAAACTCGATGATGCATGGCATGCGACTTGCAAGCAGGGGGGAATATGAATGGAACCCATCTCACCTCGACGACATACGTAAGGGCCATCGCAGCTCCACGGGGGTGCTAGACCGAGGCTGGGACCGTCGCATGCAGCGGAGCATGTCATGCTCTTCTCGTTGCTCAAACACATCTAGTTTATCCCATACCTGACTGGAAAACCCCTCGAATATGGCTCGACAATGCAGGGCGCTGCCACTTTTTGGGGTGGCGAAAGTGCTCGAGTCGACAGGTAAGCGAGAGCTTAGAAAACAGTCGCAGTGGGCTGTCGCTGCGACCTGCTGGCTCCATGGACCCGTCACGACGGACGGCCGGACGTGGCGCGTCTAGGCTGTTTCGTCGATCGTTTCACGTCGCCGAGCGTGACTATCACGGGTTCGTCCTCTTGGGTGGGTCGCTTCGGCCGTCCCTTCTTGGCTGCGGCGGCTGCTTCCCGCGTCAGCCTGAGCGCCTCGGCCGCGGCTGCTTTCGATCGGTTGAAAATGAGCTGCGTTCCAGTGGATTCCTTCGCGCTGAACGTGTACCCTTCCGCGTGAAATGCCTGGACTTGAGCCAATGTCGAGGCTCGAGTGGTCACAACATGGCGGACCATGAGGCCCCGCGCGCGCTTGGCAAACACAGACTTGATCTGGCCATCGTCCTTGAAGACACAGTCGACGACTGTGACGGATGGATCGAGGGCAGTCAGTTCGACGCTCTTAAAGTACTCGATGGACGCAACGTTGAGCAGGATGTTGGCAGACGACGACTCTTTGAATGCTTCGTTGATGTCTTTCGCGATGGCGGGCCCCCAGAACGAGTACAAGTCGCTGCCCCGCGCCGTGACGACCTTTTGACCCATTTCCAATCGATACGGTTGAATGAGGTCGAGGGGCCGCAGTGTACCTGGGTTGATGCACTCATCAAGAGATGATGCATGCAGGAACGAGAGGTGTACCATAAAGCCCACAGAGAATCCGAAGATGGGCCTGAGCGAATTCCATGTCAGAAGCGCTCCACGTGGAACTCTGGAGCCCCTTGTATGCCGGTCCATCGAAGGCCAATATGGCCTGGAAAGGAAGATCACGCGATGAGCACCGTCATTGACGTATGGCCATCTACACGTAACCTACCTGTTTGAACGATTCTGGCTTCGACGTGGCCGATCCGTCCATGATAAATTGCTTGTACCTACAGCATGACTGTGGCACCATTCCTGTGGAGCGAACGTTGTCGCGCGTACCTGTCGTAGTTGAGTTTGGCCAGGGCATCGCTCACGCCAAGAAGTGCTTTGACTTTGCTCAGAGAAAGCTTCCGCAGGTCGTGGATCTGCGCCAGATACGAGTGCATGGGCTTCGACTCCTCAGCAAGTGTGCAAGATCGAACGTACCAGCTCCGACGCATCGTCCAGGTGCAAGGGCTGGGTGCTTGGTGAGTTCGCTTCAAGCTCGGACATATCTAGCGTCTTCGCCGGCGACAGCACCATCACGATCATGGCGCCAATGACGTCCGCCGCGCTCGACACCTCCCGTCGATCGGAAAATGTTTCCAAAGTTTTCATCTAACTTGAAAATTCGTGAAATTCCGAAAAAGTTCAATTTCATTTTCAAAACTTCCATGGAAATCCCTATGAAACCGTCTGCGTGCGAACGGTGGCAAACATGGCCCTGTAGACGACGACAGAGATGCCAAACGACGCGGCGAAGAGTCCGAAGACGATGCATCCGAGCAGCTCAAAGTTGTCACTACACACCGCTCCACGATCAAGATCGTGGCGACAAGCACACATGCACGTACTTGATGCTGCGGATGACTTCGGCGGCCCACCCCGTGACGAGACCTTGCGCGACCAAGATGCCGCACGCTTCGACCGCTCCGATGGACAGTGCCACGAATGATGACAGTCCAGTGAGGAACATGTTGTAGAAGAGCTTTTTCGCCGGGTGAATGTACGCCCATCCATACGCCCACAGCATGAAGACCCCTGGACATATGCGTCAACGCGCCAAGTCTATCTCCATGCATGTGGAGACACTGAGCACCGTCTAATGTGTCAATCAAGCTCATGCCGCAAGTAAACAGTCCAGGAAGCACCAGCACGACCCACGACGGCACACCAGATTGAGTCGCGAGCGCCGAAATTGCCAAAAGCGCCTACATGTGTGATGCCTTCCTCAGCATGTCATGGACGACAGGTGCACCGCGTTACCACTTCGGACGCTGTGTCGAATCCCAAGCCAAAGAGAAAGCCCAGAGGATACATCTTCCATGGTTGGTCTATCACACCAACCAGCGACGGGCAGCATGCATGCAGAATACCGCCATCGAGTCCTGTCGGCGCCAGAACGTTGTCGCCGTCGGCGATTTCCTCGTTCGAGGGGGTCGCATGATGTCTCGCTGCATTCCATTGCTGCGAGATGCGGATGAAGGCGAATCCGTTGACGAGTCCAATCAACGTAAGAAACGTTGCTGACACTGCCGCGCCGACAATAGCACCGATGGATTTACTTGTGTCCATGTTGATCGTGGACGCGCTGCACACGACAACGATCGACATCAAGATGACGACGCTCGAGTGGCCCAACGAAAAGAACAGACCGACGGTCACCGATTGCCTATCTCGCTGAAGGAGACTGCGCGTCACGTTGTCGATCGCTGCAATCTAATATTCCATTGTCAACATGCTCATGAAGTGGGGAAATGTGAGCGCATCAAGAACATGGACGTACGTGATCGGCATCAACTGCGTGGCGGAGACCCAACGCGTACGCAACCACGGCAGACGACAAGATCACGGGGTACCTATCGTCAAGTCAACACGTTGGCGGGCGTAAACGCGATCGCATCGGCGAGGCCCACGAGCTTTTAGTGTCGATGAAGGAGAGGGTGACGAAAAGGGGACGTACGTTGTACTGATCAAGATCGTTCCGGCCCATGTTGTAATGTTGACGAGAACGAGCACCGCCACCGTCACCTTCGCGCGACGGATTGTATCTTCCTTGACACTGTCTGGAATCGACCCATCCTCTTGAACCGCGAACGGTTCCGTGGCAGGAGGGCACTGAAGGAGCCGCGTCGACTCACGGAAGTCCATGGGATCGTTTCGTACAATGTGAAGATCACGCGTGGGTTCCAAAGCCCAGGACCGAATTCATTTATTTAATATATAAATTCTTGACCTCGACGTTGTGAATCCGCGGGTTAAATGAACATTTTCTATCGTTTTTCCGACATGTCGACTATCCGGATAATGCGACCATATCGCTCCATACCAACATGGACCAAATCCTCCATGGAGTTCTTCTAAGTGACAAGTCGGACGAAGAGAAGAAGTTGTGCATCGACCACATCCTGTCGTGCTCGTTGTCATCAGAGCAGCAGCAAAGCATCGCATCTGTGTGCTGGGCCATGTGGCCGGAAGGGTCCACGCCTCCTCAAGTCCCTGTGCTAGTCCATGCGTTGCAACAATTGCCCAACCAGTTTATCGTGTGTGCTCGCCGGTACCTCAAAGATAACCAAGTCGCGGGCGACACGAGCGACGCTTGTACTTTATGGATGGAGTGCGAAACGCGGCATGCCGAGTGGATCCCTGTCATCAAGGTGTTGTTCCTTTACATGTCGATGCGACCCATGCACATGCTGAGTCGTGTTGTGTCGGTGTTCCAACGATGTTCGCCGACGCCATTCTCGACGTTTCTGTTGGTGAAGGATCTCTATTTGAGCACGGAAAAGCTTGCAAGCGTCCTGATCAAATGCGGCCGATTGCCCATGGTGGGGCACACCGGTGCGTGGGTCAAGCAATTCCTGCTGCTCTTGGTGAAATGTGATCAATGGCAAGTGCTTCTCACCGGCGGCAACGACGTCATCCTGAGCGTTGCCGAGCAACTTGAAAGCCCCAACTCAATCCACGGAAGTCTCGTCGTGCTCGAGACCATCTTCCTCGGCTTCCAAGAGAATGCTGACGTGTTTCTGGCGTTCTTTCCGCACTTTTACGACCGCGTCGCACCGTGGGTCACGTCCCCGCCGCCGACATCGCTGCCAACAGCAACTTTGATCTACCTGCATGAGTTCCTGCAGGGCCTGCTCTTTGCCTTTCCTGGACATCCCTTCGTCCAAGCCAAGTTGAGCCATCTCTGCTCGATGCTTCCACCACTTTCGCCTTCCTTTGATGTCGGTACGGTCCGTCTCCTCCTGTGTGGACATTGCACGAGTAATTGCCGACTCCTTTTCCCATGTGTGAGTGTTGGACATGGCGGCGTTTTCGTCGTGGTCGAACCGCCCATCGTTTCTAATGATGTGCATGAGTAGAGGCAATTGGAGAGGAATTGCGCTGGAAAAACTGTAAGCACGGTGACCAAAGCCCCTTTGCGTCGACCGACACGGCCACGGGGCCGCACGCCTCTACGCCGTCGAATGGCGGCGCCGACGCGATTATTCATGGCTTTATGGGCCTTCGAAATGTCGGGAACTCGTGCTACATGAACGCAGTGTTACAGGTGTAGGATTGATCGCAATCGAGTGGACCGCTGACGATTCAGGCGTTGGTACGACTGTCTGTAGGGACTGTACCACACCGTGGCGCTTCGCAAGCTCGTTGAGTCGACGACACCGACTCCAACAAAACGAAAGCTACCATCGACCGTTGCTCCGAGCAACGGTGCGGCGGTCGTCGCGGCCGAGTTTGGGCTCCTTGTACGGCAAATGTCGGCACAAGGCAGTGGATGTGTGGCCCTGCAGCATATCACGCGGTACGTTGCCGCCTGTCGTCGTGGCATGGACGCCGATCGGTGGAGATAGGTTTCGCGCGGCGTTGGCGGCCGAGTTCCAAACGAGTCGCCAACAAGACGCGTCCGAGTTCTTGCACTACTTGTGGGACCTCGTCATGACGCATTTTCTCGAGAGCCGCGCGGAATGGAGCCACGTGTTCAACGGCAACGTGGCGCGCCACGTGACGTGCAGTCGGTGTCGCGCCGTCTCGACAACGACCGAGCCGTTCTTGGACATCACCGTGCCCGTGCCGACCACAGGTGCCGGTCTCCCGCTGCTGACGTTGCTGCGCGCCCAATTCGCGACGGAAACGTTGAGGTACTAACGACGCTGGCCATCGTGCGACGTGTGACGTGAACGATCTAGCGGCGACAACGCGTACTGTTGCGAGGTATGCAATGACCGCGTTGACGCGACGAAAAAGACAGTCATCGCGGATGCCCCGCCGCATTTGCTGGTGACGCTGAGTCGGTTCCAGTACAACCTGCAACGGTAAGTAGGACGGCGGCGCACTTGGAACAGACACGTCATGGTTGGACCAGGGGCGTGCGGGAAAAGGTGTGCACCCATATCGCCTGCACGACATCGATCCATCTTCCGGTGGACGAGAAGCGCGCCATGGGGCATAGCAATCACGTCGCAAGTGCCAATGTCGCGTATGACTTGTACGCCGCCACCATCCATGCCGGCAGCCGCGCCGACCACGGCCATTATTACACTTTTGTAGCTCGAACCCAAGACGACGTACGTTGGTTGGACGGGATACCCTTTGCAGGCGTACGCTGACGCAATCGGGCTCGTAGGCCACGGCGCGCGATGCATCAGGGCGACGGTGGGTGCTGCTCAACGACAGCCGGGTGAGTGCTGTGGACGATGCGATGGTGCACCACACACTCATGGCGTCGTCGACCGACACGCCGTACATTCTGTGGTATCGCCGCCGGAGCCCCGATTCGATAGCTCGTAATAACAAATAGAAGGGCTGTGGCGAGTACCATCCGAACACGGTCGCTGAACGCGGGAACAATGGGGTGTGAAGGGTTGGGCCGCATTGCAACTGAAGGAGGTAGCTCATGACAATTTGACGATGGACAGCGGGACACGAGTAATTAGGACTGCCCACAAGGCATGGACTATGGCGTTGTGTAGACGGTGCTTATTCGAAGCGACCTCGTCGAGACATGTAGTCGTATAGCGCCATCGTACTCAACAGCAGCACGACGCACGTCCCCTGGCCGTAAATGCGCGTGTGCATGATCTTCTGCGACAACTGAATGTTGTTGTTCTGGCTCTGGTGCAAGTAGATGCCGCCCACGAGAGGGATCGCTGTCATGGCGAGCGTGCGAAACGGGTAGTCCAGCACGTGGTTTGCAAAGCGAAGGTGCAATGGCAACGAGTGGGGCCGTTGCGTGGCGGCAGCAGCGGCGGCGTCCGTGTTACTCTTTGCTTGCAAGTCGCTGAGGTATTCTTCGGGGTTACGGCTACCACGGAGCAAGTCGCGTTCGGCGACGATGATAAAAGTTGCCATTCCAGCCGAAGCCACCAAGCCGACCTTGCCACTCACGCCCAAGCGGTTGCGGAAGAAGGGCCAGTTGTAGTGGGCGAGGGTCGCTCCCGCTGCAGCAACTACTGTCGCAGCGGCGCCGGCTTGGAGGCCCAACGTCGCTGAGTTGGTCGTGATGATGTCGCGGGTGGCAGCGGAGGACATCTTGAGTCAAAGTGACGAGTCATTCATACGTTCAAGACGTTTGTTTCGTTCCGAAACATCCGGAAATGATTGGTTCAGGACATCCATATCCGGATAAATATCCGGAAACGGTGTCGTCAACGGGTAGACAACACCTGACGTGGCAGCACCTGAACACTGCACACCATATTTGACATGGGCAACGCGGGGGCACCCTCTGTAGGGCATGAGATCCACCTGCATCACCTATCTCGTTGGGTGCGTGACTAGGGCGTCGGAATGGCCCCCTAGTTCGTGACCCATGCCTAGTTGGTGGACCTTTTGATTCAATGGCATGGCCCATGGCCTCGAGCGCCGCAGAGGCATGTCAAGGCAGTCTCCCAAAATGCGATATGGGAATATGCAAGAGTCATGGTACGGTTTGGGGGACATCCTCACGATACCAATTGAGGCCGACGACTTTACTCCACGACGACCGGCATGGTTCTTCTCACAACAGAATAGACTTCACTGAAAACAACGCAAACGTAAAGGGCTCGGGTGCTGGGAGAAATCCCAAACGTCTCCGTACCATCCCCTCCTGGACCTTGTTGAGAAGACTACGTCAACCAAGTCTTTCCCACTTTGGTCCGTGTAACTTTTACTCGCCGCCGACAAAGCCATCATCGCGGCTGCCTTACGTGTGATACTTTTCGAACCAATCCTTTCAAAATTTGAGGCGTAACTTTCCCATGTGTGACTTGAACTGAATTTGTCGTGACAATTTGGACAACATGCACGAGATACACCGGATTGTGCTTTCGCGCGCACACTCTTCCCCCCGGGGCTGGACGGACGATTGCCGAGGATGATTAGGATGCAAAGTGCACTTGTTCCGCGTGTGAACTCAACTATGTTGGCCGGTCAGATAAAGAACATGGTCGCGTATCCAGCAATGGGTGGTCAAGGAGGGCCCCAGTTGTAGCCATGGGGATGCCTTGCAGGAGGGGTACTGCAAGGCCCAGCCACGTTACAGCACTGCGGTAAGTGTATCCAACGAGGCACCGAGTTGTTTGATCGCAAACAATGCGGTACCGCTCACCACGACCCGCGACAACGGTGACTTCTGGGCTTTCGTTGGTTTTGAAAGGGATTGGAGCGCTCGGTCCACGACTTGACATGTCCCGTTTGGATTTGTCATACGTCTATTAAAGTTTCTGCCGCCGGGATCGAGCTTTGGCCGTCCGTTTTCTTCGAGAAGACGGTTTTTTCATCATCGGTTCCGATCGCAGCATTTCTTCGAGCGTCGCGACGACCTGGGCGGCCGACGGACGCCTCGTCCGGTTCTGGGACCAGCACTTGGTGATGAGTTGGGTCCAAGTTAAAGGACACGTCGATCCACTTTGAATGGCTGGGCGCTGACCGGACAGCACGCACTTGCGCAGCTGAATGTAGTCTTCGCATTCGGCAAAGGGCACTTCACCTGACATGAGCTCCCACAGGATCAACCTAGGCAAAGTATGAGATCTCGGTGTCGCCATACGACGACAGGGAGGCGTTCGTCGCAGTCCTGCATCGAGGAGAGCTCGACAACACAAAGCACCCTTGTCAATTTGAAGTGCATACCCGAGGCTGTAAATGTCGGCGCCTTGGGGGTTTTCGGCTGTCATGTCGATATTGTCGCTGACGGCCTTGAGAACTTCTGGTGCGGTCCAGTAGGGCAACCGGCCCGTGGCTTTGGCCGGATGCCGTGGCTTGGATTGCACGGCCTGGAACACCTGTCTCGTTCCAAAATCCTATTCACAGCGACACCATGACCGTCGACGTCCGTTGATGGAGATGCAGTGGGCCCAAGTGCCATGTCGTACCGCCAATTTCGCATTCCACGAGTCGTCGACCAAGATATTCGCGCTACAGTCGAAGTCAACGACGCCAGGGTGCCAAACATGACCATCGTTGCCTTTGTAGAAGCATACCTTGTAAGCTGGCCGTGGACCAACGGCGGGGTCGCGCTGTGAAGGTAAAGGAGTCCCCGGGCGGCACCCAGCGCCAACCGACAGCGCAGGTTCCAGTGCAGCCCACTCTCCGACGCCTCTTTGTCTTCCTTGATACCGTCCGTCATATTGTGCATGGTGTGGAGCTGGGATGGTTGTGACGTGTGCAGGATATCATACAGCGAACCACGGGCGCAGTACTCACTGCAAGAAACAGAAATACTGTCAGTTCCCATGTTGTGACAAACTCGATCGATGTATGCACAACGGAGCTGGACGATGCGGACAGACCTGACGATGCAGAACGACTGGTCGCGCAGACACACGCCCATGAATAAAACAGTGTTGGGGTGGCGCAGACTGCTCATGCGCGATGCCACAACTTCCAGCGACTTTTCCATGGCCTCGCTTGCTTTGGTCCTTGACATCGTCATGCGTTTCTCGACGACCGTGCTTCCGCGATACGTTCCTTTGTACACGGTGCCCGAGTCACCTTTTCCGATCTCTTGCGAGCAGTGCACTTCGTCCGCCTACGCGCGGAACCTGTCATGAGTGCAACAACGTTTTGGCGACGACAGTACACGCAACAACGACGCATGGCCCGAGAACGTGCTCTTCTTGCTCTGCAGCTTGTTCACGCTCACGTGGACATCCTCATTCAGCTCAGCTTCAAACTGAGACACCATTTTGTCGTCTGGAATGCATTGAGTGAAGCAGCACCCCATGATGCAGCCAGATTCTGTGTCGCCGCAGTCGCGCGCTTCAGGAACAAGCTCGGTCGGTGACTCACGCTATTTTTGTACCTATGCTCTCTTAAGTACGCCAGTTCCAGGTGGGATGACAAAATGTGAGATTTCCAAACAGCACGATTGTGTGCAAGCCTTTCCCAAGCCATCGTCGGTGCCATGCCAACTCGTTCAGCCTCACGAGTATTGCGTTGGCGGCGGGTTCCAAGGCATATGTCAGAGACACACAACGGACCATCATCGCTCTCGATCCCTCACAGTGCTCATACGCCGCTCAAACGATCGTAGATCACGTGGACGAACCTTGGTCGCGACGGACCCGTCGTCAGTCAAGACGATGCCGCTGATTCCGTGTGATAGGAAGTTCACGGTGAGTAGTCATTCCATTGCTTCTTTGGCCGATTGCTCTCAGTCGTACGCGGCGTTGAACCGACTTTGGCTCGGAATAGTTTGCGATCAAAATATGCCCATCCGCATCTCGACTGAAACGTCAAGCCGTCGAAATGTCCCAGCAAAGTGTTGTTGAAATCGCATCCTGCGATTTGATTGGGTATTGCGATTGAGGTTATTCGGATTGGCGAAAAGATTTGGACTTTCTTTAGTAGTATCAAATCTCTCAAATTCGTTGTAAAAATGGAATATCCGTAATTCCGTACGATGAAAAAAAATAACTTACGTTGGATTGGCTGTAATTCCACCAGGAAATGCTCTCAGGATGCGCTTACTCTTCGCTGATTGGTTTAAAACATTTGTCATGTTGTTTGTATTGGATCGATGTACATACGGATTTCTTACGTTTTGAGGTAACTTTTTGGGGTTGTTGCAACGAGGTGTGTGGAGGAGCCCACGATCGATGGAAGCGCACTTCGACAAGGTCTTTGATGCGTCGGGCAACCGAACGGCGCGGGAAGACAGGCCAGAGAGAGATGGTACCCTCGCGCCACGGCCGTTAAAGCGTGTGAAGCATGTGACGCAAGCAGCGGCAGGCACCGATGCGACGATCTCGGCCGCCGACGACGAAGGCAGTGCCGAGTTTGCGCTCAACGAACGCGTCGTCAAACAAATGGTGTCGTCGCTGGAGAAGAAGTTACAGAAGAATGACGTGTTGCGCTCAAAGTATGCCGCTGAACCGTCTAAGTTTATGGTACGCTCGGTTCGCGCCAAGACCTGACCTCACGACCGTGGTAGGAGTCCGAGATTGCGCTCCATGAAGAGATCACGAGAATCAAAGACGTCGCAACAATCCCGTCCCTCTTCCATGTGCTGATTCAGTCGGAGGCAATTCCATTGTTCGTCCAGTTGCTCACCCACGAGAACATGGATATCCGCTTCGACATCATCGCGCTCCTGGCGGACGTGACGGACGTCGCCGATGACGACGGGCCCGGTGAAATGGAGATTGCGCAGACGCTTGTGCGCGGGATCGTCGACTTGAACGGACTGCAGCTCCTCTGCGACACCCTCGTCATGCTAACGTCGTCCTCTGTGAGCGAAGATGACGACGCAACCCGCGTCGCAATCTACAATACGCTGCACATCGTGGAGAACCTGGCAGAGCTGCTGCCGGACTCCTGCAAAGCCATGGCGACGTCGACTCCGATGCTCAACATTCTCCTTCATCAGTGCAGCATGAAGACCGACATGACAGAGAACCGATTGTACTGCAGCGAGATCTTGTCGATTGTCCTGCAGAGCGCCGACGAAGACACGTGTTTGGCGCTCGTGGCGGCCCCAGGGACCGAAGACCGGCTGGACCTCATGCTCCAAGTGCTGGCCAAGTACCGGAAGAAAGACCCGGCGACGACGGAAGAGGAAGAGATGGTGGAAAACGTATTCAACGCACTCTGCAGTGCACTGCGTGTACCGGCCGTCCAAGATCGATTCCGTGGCCTGGAAGGATTTGAACTCATGCTGCGCTGCCTGAAAGAAAACAAATTTTGCACGACGTCCTCGCTGCGAGTTCTCGACCACGCCATCATGAACCACACGCGAAACTGCGAGCGACTCATTCAAATCGGTACGTCGCTCCTGCCATCTCGAGTACCGTCCTGTCGAGTCGACATGCGCTGCATCGACCCCTGGGGTCCATGCCTTTGCGTGCGCATATCCACGACATGTGTGTTGGACGTGCAGTTTGAGTCTGCATGTGTGACTAGCTAGACCATGGCTGTTTTACCGTGTAAACGCGCCTTGCATGAGGGACCTGCCATATCTGGACTGGCCCAACAACGATGAGAGGGAATGCAAGTGGTTTGAATGGACGAGAGGAATTGGATGTGTGTGTGTGATTTGAAGATAGTGACAGTGTGGCATGCGCCGATGGCGTGTGCATTCGAAAACAAACTTGCGATTGACACTGTTGTGGTTGTAGGGGGTCTGAAACAAGTGTTTCCGGCATTCATGGGCAAAATCAAGCGCAAAAAGCGACAGGAACGAGTTCAGGACGAGCATCTTTTTTCGATCTTGGCAACGTTGTGCTTGTGGCTCCCTGTGGAGACGTCCCGCGGCGCCGTCCTCGACCGGCTGCACGCCAAATTTCGCGAAAACAACGTGGAAAAGACCGACCGCCTCCTCGATCAATTCCTCGCGTATTATGCACGTGTGCATGCGCTGCCCAAACCCGTGTTCAAGGACGACGACGCGATCGACGAGTACAACGAAGCAGTCGAAGGATACCGACTGCACCAGCTCGAGGTCGGGCTCTTTCCTCTCCAACAAATCGCGTTTGTTTTGTGTCACTTGGTTCAAGTCCTGCCGTCGTTACGGGCGCATGTCGCGGCAAAGCTCCGTGCGTACGACCACAGCATGGACACGCTTCGCCAGCTGCTCGTAGACCAGGTTGCATCGCTCACCCAAGACGACGACGATGGCGACGATGCGACTCTGACAGGGTCGGTCCAGCTCCATCGGCTCACGGATCTCATCCACGCGTTGGAAGCGCCAGACGGCATCACGCCAACATGAAAAACTAGCCACGCACGACGAACGAGGTATACCGATCACGTCTGGCATGACGCACGTGTTAACTTAAAAGAAAGCGTCGCTGCCGACTCTTGAAGTGCTTGGTGGGCAGACCCAGCGCCGCCGTGTAGACTGCTGCCCTACCGCACCACGTCGGACGCGTGCATCTTTGAAAACTGCCGAATTAAATCTTGCTCCTCGGGGTCGTACAGGGCCTGCAGCGGCGACATGGAGTCTTTCTTTGGCGACGACGTCGGCGAGAGATTAACGTGGCTGACGGTCTCGCCGCGGGTCCCCATGTCACTTTCCACCTCGCCCGCCATCGCCCCCATCGTTGTCGTAGGGCCACACACTTCGGCGAGCTTCCTCGGGTCCGGAAGCGGTGGCTTTCGAACAGAGCTGCTACTACTGTCCATGACGAGCGCGGCAGCCGTCGGTGACGACGGGAACGTGTCGAAGTCGTCTTCGCTGACGTCCTTCGCCAGGAGCAACTCGGATTGACTCATCGACTGCTTACTCAGTTGCACCAGGTGATTCTCGACGCCAGTGCCGCCGCCTAACGACACAATCATGGTCAGAATGGGCAACGCAGGACGCGCCACGGAAACGGGGGTGCGGAGCAGGACCATGGCATGATGACGCGGAACGAGAGAGGGAGTACGAGTTGGTGCCGTACCATTGGGAGTCGGGAGGTTGATCGCCCACTCGGCGCGGATATCCTCCAAGTCGGTGGTGGCAAAATCGTGCCACATGGCGGCCAGGTCCGCGGCGACCGGCGGCGTTTGCATCATGAGCTCGTCGAACGACATCGCGATGTCCTTGAAGCACGTGACGTATCTCGACTGGCATCCCGCGATAACTGTGCCCAAGATCGAGCTTGTGAGGAGCGAGTTGCGGAGGGGGTCCCAGATCGTTCGCCGCGTTTGGAGCTCCTGGCCAAACATGACGGGGCAGTCTTCGAGGCACGTAATGAAGAGGCGGCAGATGGCCGTGTGCAGGATGTTCGCGTTCGGGTACCGCTCCACGAGCACAAGGAGCTGCTCAAACGTGTGGTCCTGCATGAGGAGCTCGTCCACAGCAATACAGCTCACGCGAAGGACGGGGTACAGCAAGTAGAGCAGCTACACGCGCACAGTTCAAGCACGTAAGGTATGGCCACGACTGGTGCACGACGCACCTGAACGTGCTTGAGACTAAAGTTCTGGTGCGGTGGAATATGCAGCACATCGAGAAATGCTGGCAACCGCGACAGAAATGCCGTCCACAGCGCATTCAGCGTCCCTTGGCAGTCGACTTCTCGCGCCGCGTCCGTGGTCTGGACGGCGTCTTGATGGCGGCTGATGCACCCGCAGTGGTGCAACTGGAGCATCGAGTTGAGCACTTTCATGCCGTACGACTCGCACGACAGCGGCGACGGCAGCGTTTGTAGATCGTTCAGAACACCGTCGACGAGCGCGGCGCCGAGGATCGGGTTCGTCGTGAGCTGGAGCACGATGAACCGGCCGACGGTGTCGGGTCTGTTTTCTTGGATCAAATCGGTGACAAAGTCGCACGTGTACAGCATGAGGGGGAACTTGTAGTCGAGGGAAGTGGCGGCGAGGTCGAGGGTGGGCGGTAGTTTGTTTTGGATGGTTGCCAACGTTGTGCACGGAAACACTTGGGCGAGGATTTGGTACGGGACGACATCCCACAGCGCCTGTTGGTCCAGATCGTCGCAAAACAGATCGTCGCAGAACCGCAGCGTGAGTTCTTTCATGGATTCGCGCCCGATTTGAAACAAGATGCCTACACACGAAGACAGGCAGTCCAAACTGGCGAGTGGCACGATCAACAAGCACGGGCGTTGTGGGGGAGAGGAGCAAGAGACTGCGGGTTCCCCTGTCGTCGGCCGCGTACCTTGAAACAACGCCACGCTCTCGTGGCCATACAGCGAAAAGAAATGCGCGATCGTGGTCTTTTCAAACAGAGCCGTGCACACGCGGGAGATAGCTTCCGCATTCATCGTGTCAACTGGGTCGAAGTGGTGCAGATTCGTAAGCAGGTTCGTCCGGGCGGCCGGGGCATCCCGCGACAACATGGTGTCCACGATTCCTTGTGAAAAGTTGGAGCTCGTCATGAGGTTCTGAAGATGGTACAGCCGTGCGCACTCGGCATAGGTGGGGGCATTGCGGTATGTGAACACCACCTTGGGGTCTTGAAACAGGAGATGCACCATCCCGCCCACTAGAATGTCGTCATCGCCTCGATAAAATGCCGAGAGCACCGCGGTGGCGGCCGGGCTACGTACCACACGAGTCGGAGCTAAAGTAGTCGCGCAGAGTCTCGGACGACCGCGACGAAAGCGCACCTGGCATGGACGCCAGACGTAGCTCCTCGAGAAAGTCGGGCGAGTCGAAGAGGTCTTCGATGGTCTTTTGCACCATCTTCTCGACGACATACCCCAGCGGATCGTCCATGCTGGTCATGCAGACGGGGGTGCTACAGCCAGGGGCAAGCGGCAGTAGCAACGAGAGAACGCGTCCCCTCCGTTTTTTGTCGAGTTCGGTCGTATTTTGGGCACACGGAAACCGATGGCGTTTCGGTTGCAAAAATGACGCCATCGGGACGAAGCCGGGAGGAACTGTGTTGCATGCACGATCGCTAGCACCTACCACGGATGACGTCGCTGTCGTGGCGGAGGGGGGGTGTCCCTCGTGCATCATCGAATGGGCTGGAACACTCCGCCTTCCCGCTCGTGCCACCGCTGTGTGGCGTCCATGTGCACTCTAGGCTTGGCCATGCACAAAGGTTTGGTCGATTACGTCGAGAGGGACAAGTTGGCATGACCACACAAGTGCACGTTGCGTCGGGGGAGCGTTGGACCGATGGAAGGAAACGTGAGTGTGCGATGTAGAGGTACCGCCAAGCATGGGCACCGGACTTCCACAACGACGCAAGAAGGACCATCATGCGCTTGCAAGGCTCTTTCGAGGGGAGGCGCGGACGGCCCTCCTGCTGGTGGGGCACATGCTGTGTTTACTGCCAAACCATGGAAGAAGCATGCCAAGGACAAGTGTCTGTACTGCCACAAAATCTTGACTGTCGATTCAAGAAGCGCGATGTGGCCAAGGGTATCCAGCGCAAGTGTCTTCCGCTGACTGCCGCATGACTGTCATGCCCGGCGTGTTACCGAATAAAGAGTGGCAAACTTGCCGACATGGCTCCGCGATGGCATTGCCGGTTTCTTCCTCTTCCACTCTTTTGACTCAGACCTCTTCGAGGCACTCTTGAGCGCGACCCCTCGCAATAGTGACTACTGTACGTCGCTACCAGGGAGCGTATGCACCAGGGAGCGTATGCACCGCGCTTGTGGCCATCGCGTGCGGCAGCTTCTGGTGAGTTGCCCATGGCAAGTCCTCAAGTGATAAATTACGACAAAATCATCTGTGCTTTGGCTACGACACGATGTGGGTGTTGATGAATTGACTGAGCCGGCGCGACGCAAGCGACGGCAGCTTGGGCGGCATGGCCATGTCCCACGCGGATCGGTTGGCTGTCTGCATAACTTGCTCGTCTTGTGCCAGCGCTTGGAACAGTTTTTCAACGACGCGGGCGCGAACGGCTTCTCGGTCGGGGCCGCGTAAGCATGGTGGCATGGGCACCGTGATGCAAAAGTCGACAACTCGTTCGTCCTCGCTTCTCCACGACGGTGGGTGCTGGTGGGACGGCATCGAGTGGTCGTTTTCACAGTGTGGCGGCGGCGAACGGGGGCACGTCGAGTACGATGGTGACGGTATTGATCGGGGGCCCGCAGGTCGATCGTTCGGCGAGAAGCTCCGGTCTCGTTTCCGCCTCATCTTGTTGTCCATGCGCCGTTGGTTCAGGTTCTGCTTTGCCCGGTGGTCCTTGCACAGGTTGTGCGCGAGGCCGTTCGTTTTGACCGCTCGCTCGTTGAAGCACTTGCCCGTTTTGTACAAGCAATACCCGCGGAACGGCGACTGCAGCGTGGTGTGCATGATCGGCGTAGAGGCAATCGGGAAATGGCTTGGGCGTGGCGATGAACTCGTGATGTCTCTAGGATGAACGTGGTCCAGGTGCGACGGACTCAGACCGGATGATATCATAATTTGCAGCGGCTCGTTCTGGAAACCCATCGAATGAACGCCTAATCCATCGCATTAATGCCTCCTCTTCCAACGCCATAGCGGCGGAATAAGGGACCTTCATTCGATGGGTTCATCGTGGTCGGGCTCGACATGCTGCCCTGTGTGCCGTGGGAGTGGGAAGCCTCTGGCAGCCGTCCACTTGCTGGATACGCCATCGTGCCACTGCGTCCAAGGGTTGGTGGTGCGGATGGAGCTATGTACCACAAGCATGTGGGTGCGCAGGTTCTGTGTGCCGGGGATGCGCCGAACCCATCCCGTCGGCCACCACACCAACCGTTCGTTGGACCATTCGCTGTAACGAGCGCTGGATATCGAGCGACACCCTGCCTTCGTTGCGGCACCATGCGAGGACAACTTGAGCCACGCGGTTCGGTCGTACCAAGACGCTGGGGTTGCGGATGCGTAGGGAAGCCAGCGTCGTCTTGGCATAGCTCGAGACCATGCGGCGATGGGCACAACAACCTGACAAGTCCAAGCGCACCCCGAATGCAGCCGGAGGGGTTTTCACCGAGAACCCCGTGCACGAACGGGTGACTCAGAAGCGCGAGGGGGCCTTTCTGATCGCTGAAGACACATCCAACACATCCAGAGCCGGCGGCGAGCGAGATGTGTACGTCCAAGTGTGGGAGGCGATCTGAACCGAGTGGGTGCACAGGCCACGGGCAAGAAAGATGTGCCGGAACAGTCGGTGGACCGTGATGACGTCGTCACAAAAGCTACAGCGACACACGGCGCCGTGAACCGGGCCAGGGGCTCGAAGAGCCAACGACGATCGCACCCTCGTGAGGATGCGGCTTGCAGCACGACGCGCTGGCAAGCCAGGCTGTCGAGTAGCTCCAAGCAGGTACCACCGGCGCTTGCTTGGGCTCACGATGCCCCAGCCACGAGGACGACATCGTGTGAGGGAGCCGCCCTCGCCACGTGCAAGCTCGCCACAACGGAACGACACCCATTCCATCGTCCTGTAGGGCTGCGATATCGGATGGGCAACGCCGCAACACATCGCTTGTCCCAATTGAATCATCTGGGCTTCGACGCGCCTGTGGACCGTATCAGGGTCCGGGGGCTGGACCTGTCGCAGGCTCTTCCCACATATCGCAGACCCTTCCACGCATGGGAGCCGCCGAGGTGCTGTCCAAGGAGAGTCTGTTCATGGGGATCCGATGGCATGCCGACGCCGATTCGTTGCGAGCTGTTGGCACGGCGTTGTGGTCGAATGGATTTATACAGGTTTTGGCCTTTCTCGTCAAAGTGTTGCCGAGGCCACCGTATAAATCAATACGATCGATTATATGACGGCACCAGAGGGAATTCGATACAATCGATGTTGCGCTCGGTCGATGCCCGACGCACGACCACGACGCAACCAACAATCGTCAAGGATGATGCATTTTCTCAAACCGTGACGTGGCTAGCTGTGCGGGTCCCGTCTACAAGACTAAATGCTCTTGGCGCGAAAGTACTCGGCCGGAAGAGGCGCATGGAAGGCAGACAGAGGCGGGAGCACCGGTCGCCGGTCGAAGGGCGCGCCGTGGTCGTCACACTCGTGCTGGACGACGTCATAAGAATAGTTGTGATGCGGGTGCTCGTGGATAGACTCGTGCGGAAGCGCTGGGAGGGGTGGCGGCCGCTGGTGTGGACAAAAGGGCGTCGGGTGGGGAGTATCGTGGGGGTGAGAGTAAGCAGTGAATGACGACGGTGGACGCGCACGGGGAGATGGGGGTGGCGGTGGGGCCGACAAGCTCCCCACTTCCTCGGAAATAATGACGAGCAACTTTTGAAGGACACGCGATCGAAAAGCCTCCCTTGCTTCGCCTTTGAGGAACGCCGGCGTCGGGATTGTGATTTTGTCGTCGTCGTCCGAGTACACGGTCGAGTCGACGTGCCCTGGCGAGTCAGGATTGTGGCCAAATCTTGCGTGGTGATGGTGCTGTGGATGCCACGAAGGGGAGGGGGCTCCTACGCCATGCACGAACCGATGGTGCGGCGGCGTTTGGGTCGGCGACAGGGTCGCGTCCTGTCGCGTCGGGGACAGCGTTCGTGGCCGATAGTGGCCTCTCTGGCAACGGGCTTTCGAGTCCATCTTGCGCTGGTTGTGGTTTTGCTTGATGCGGTGCATGTTGCACAGGTTGTGTGCTTGTCCGTTGGTTTTCAGTGCGCGCTCGTTCGTGCACTTGCCTGTCTTGTAGAGGCACAGGCCTCGAAACGATGTCACGATGGTTTCTGGCTGTGGAGTCGACCGCTCCCACGTCGTTCGTGGTGGGGACCCGTGGGGATGCATGTCGCAACTCCTGTTTTGCTCTTGTGAGTAAGTTCTGAACTGACGACGACGTCGTCGTCGACAGCATTCGAAGCACGACGGTACCGAATGGCTTCGTCGACTTGTCGTCGTATGGATGCGAACGAGGCATGATGTCCACAAGACAGTTGGATTGGTACAACCAAACCACGCACTGTACCTCCGCTACATGGCGTTTGGAAAAACACAATCGCCCCTCGAGACAAAGCCCCGACCGCATTCGACGCGCGCCGGGTTCGATGGCGCTCGAAGACATGAACGCACCTTGTTCCACGCGAGAGGTCGTAGCACGATATCCATTCGTGGCGGTGTATGGATGGCCACACTTGCCTCGGTGTGCCATTCAAAAGCAGGTTGACCACGACGTCGGGGGCCAAACCTGCCAAGCCACGAACTCCGTTCGAGACTTGGATACTGCTGCGAAAATGATCAGATGGGCAACGCAGCTGACAGGATCAGCCTTCGCACCTGATATGATGATTACACGGTCATCGTGGAGAGTGCGATGATTCGTTGGGGCCGATCAACTTCCTGCGGTGGGTGGCAGCCCCGCTGCGTCTGGAACGAAAGACTGTGCGACCACTGGACGTCGTTGCCTCTGACACGTCTGAGTACGCTCCGCGACGTGACTGACTGCCGAGTGTCCAGGAGGGGGCATATGGCAGTGCGACACCACGCGCTAGCCCTCTACGTTGCCTCGAGAGTTTGTTGCCAACGACACAACGCGACAAAATGGCCCCCCCTGCCTCGGTGTGCTGTCGACGCCAAAGTTACGCCCCCCGCGTCGCTGCTACTGTGCTGTGCCACATTCAACGTGGCGGGTCGGTGTGCTGTCGACGCCCAAGTTACACCCCCCGCCTCTCCCCCCCACGACGCGTCGTATGGCCCTTGATTGATAGCCCAAACCATCTCCAGCGTCGTCAATCCACCAAGTTCAAGTGAGTCTGGTTCACAAATGAGTCTGGTTCGTTCTGAAGGAACTGGATGATTTCCCCGTCACCCTGACGCCGACCTCTCTCATGATCGACGTAATGACCATACGGGCGACAATTCAGATGCGCCATGCGATACGTATCGAATGCAAGGCACACACCAGCAGCTGTGAGAAGGCTGAATATGCGCGACGTTCTCAGATGGACAAACATCGACGGCTGAATGCGTGGCTATCGCAGCCCGAACAGCGCGTGAGGGGTGTGCGCGGCGTGCGTGTGTGCAGGCGCGAATGGGTGGAATCCTCGACCAGCAACTGCCGTGAAACTCCCGCATCGTAGCATGCCACCGACGCGAATGCAAGTCGCGGTCCGGCTGCGGCCCCGCCTCACGACCGAGTCACACGAAATCGAAGCTGCTGTTGCCATGTCCAACCAACGAGTTCAACTGGTGTCCACCCCCCGCGCCGCGCGACGCCCCGCGTCGTACAAGTTTGACCATGTTTTCACGCCCCGCGACTCGAACCAAGTCGTGTTCGACACGTATTTGAAGCCCCTCGTGCGCGCCGTCTTGAATGGAACCCATGCGACCGTCCTGGCGTACGGCCAAACGGGAACGGGGAAGACTTTCACGATGCTCGGGCGTGACCTGTGGGGGCTGTGTGCGGGCGCGGCCACCGGTGATCCCGACGACGGGGCGGCCATGAGAGGCGGCGACGACCCCACCCAGCGGTACATCGATTCTCATTTTAGCGCTGACTAGTGCGTATGTGTGCAGAGGCATCATGTACCTGGTGGCCGAAGCGTTGCTGGCATCGCGACGAGGGCCGGTCACGTGCTCGTACTTGGAGCTGTACAACGAAAAAGTGTACGACTTGACCAAAGCCACCGCGACCGAGGCTGGTGACGACGACAGAGTGCCTCTGGATTTGCGGGAGGACGCTGTCCATGGCGTATTTCTTCCCGACCTTCGCGTGCATCCTGTCCATTCGGTGCACACCCTGACGGACATTTTGTGGCGCGGTGCCCATACCCGCACGAGTCGGGCCACCACCATGAACGAGCGAAGCAGCCGCAGCCACACGATTTTGCAGCTTCACGTTGAGTCGGCGGACGGGACAACAGCAACCATGAATCTCGTCGACTTGGCCGGGTCTGAGAAGAGTAAGAAGCACGCCCCACGCCACCACAGTCAAGACATGAAGGTGACGCCGATCGCAGTCGAACAACACTGAACTACATCTCCGATTGATTCGATGGATAGGAGCTCAAGTACATTAATCAGAGCCTGTCGACCTTGGCTCAGTGCATCTCGGCTCTTATCCGCCGCGATCGAATACCCCACCACGTCGGCAGTGGCTCGTCGTGGGGAGCACTACCTGCGGCCGTCCACGTCCCATACCGCAACAGCAAACTCACGCGATTGCTCCAGCCGAGCTTAGGTGGGTGGTGGACCCATTCGCCTCAGAGAGGGTCGGGGTTCGATTGACAACCTGTAGGCGGGGGCGGCCTGTGCGCGTTCATCGTGACGCTTAATCCATGCAAGAGCAGCGCCCAAGAAACGCTGTCGACGCTGCAGTTTGCATCTAGAGCGATGAAAGTGACGTGCGGTGCGTAATGGTGAACTGAGTGGTGGAATATCCTCAAGGGTGGTGTGCGACAGAACCGTGTGCAGAGCCCCGGCCAGGTGGGGATGGCGTGCACCCTCCCCCGCCGCGCATCGATGACACGGTTGTGGCGGCGCTACGAGATGAAAACCAGACGTTGCGGCAGGCATTGGCCGCGGTAAACCTTCACGTGTGACTCTCGACAAGTGGCACATGGGGATATTGCAGGAACGACTACAAAAGCGAACGCTGCTCCTCGGCTTTACGTCGCTTTTGAACGCTGACAGCTCCTCTAACCTGGTTCCCATCGAGACCCAGGGTAGTCGTAAGAGGCTGCGCACCGTTGAGTCGACATTACCTGGGCAATCTGTCTAGACGAGATGGCGGATCACTTGCTTGCCAAGCTGTCGTCCATCGAGCGAACCATGCAGCTGCAGCTTCAGGACGTACAAGCGACGAAGCTCGCGCTGTCGTCGACCGCAGTGTGTGGCGGCAGAGAGTCTGCACTTACGGAGAACTTTGAACCCGAGGATCCCAGCGGAACGACCAGTGGCGGCGTCGAATCGACATGGGAAGAATACATCGATGCCTCGACTGGATACAAGTACTACCACAATGCTACCACGGGTGTAACAACATGGACGAAGCCGCGTCAAGACGTGCGGGTACCTGACTGCACGCAACCGCTAGTCCAGCAGAATACGCTAGAATCGGCTTGAGTCCATCTATCCAGCCCGCTTGAGCTCCCATGGCATCTCCGACCCCGCTCTCTAAAATGCCTAAACGGATGAAGTGCGCCTGGCACAACCTGTGCTCACCTTTGTCAAGGTCACACATGGATGTGTAAGACCTGTTGACCAGTCGCGTCCAAGCACTCTCAGTTGCCGAGCGCATCCAAACAAGACCCTCTTGACACAGGGCATTTGACGAAATGAAACCATTCCGCGCCAGTACATGCAAGCACTTCGTGCCCCACCAGGTAGACAGATAAACACAAGTGAATCCAAGTCCCGGGATCCGCGCCAGTAGAAGCTCTTCGATCACATTGTGAACCTTGGAAGAAACCGACATGGGGAATTCTGCACCGAGTTTATTTACTGTTAAGGTGAGTTCGTCCAACTTGATTGGCTATAATCAGGATAATTTCTGTCAGTCAATCACAGATTCTATTG